TTTTCATTTAGGTCCATTATTTCCTTATTTATTTTCTGTCTGGATGATCTGTCCATTGGTGAGAGTGGGGTGTTAAGATCCCCTACTATTATCGTGTTGTTGTTAATATCTCCTTTTAGGTTTGTTAATAGTTGCTTTATGCACCTTGGTGCTCCCGTATTGGGTGCATACATATTTAAAAGTGATATGTCTTCTTGGTGGAGTGTCCCTTTTATCATTATATATTGCCCCCCTTTGTCTCTCATTACCTGTTTTATCTTGAAGTCAACTTTGTCTGATATAAGTATGGCAACACCTGCTTTCTTTTGTTTGCCATTAGCTTGGAGTATTGTCTTCCATCCTTTCACTCTGAGCCTGTGTTTGTCTTTAGAGCTGAGATGTGTTTCCCGGAGGCAGCATATTGTTGGGTCCTGCTTTTTAATCCATCCCACCACTCTGTGTCTTTTGATTGGAAAGTTCAGTCCATTTACATTTAGGGTAATTATTGATATATGGGGGCTTGTTGTTATTTTATTACTCTTTTTCTGGTTCTTTTGCATTTCTTTTGTTTCTCATCCCACGTGTTTCAAACTACCAATGCAGTTTGGTAGTTCTGTATGGGGGTTCTCTTAGGTTTCTCTTTCCTTATCGTGTGTGATTCTGTTCTGATTATTTGGTTAATGGTTACCATGAGGTTTGTATAAAAAATCTTGTGGATGTGATAGTCCATTTTTTGATGGCCTCTTATTCCCTTAGACTAAGTTGATTTGATCCCTTTCATCTTCCCCTTCTATGTTATTGTTGTCACATCTTATTCCTTCTTGTGTTGTGAGTTTGTTTTTAACATGATGAGGTTATATTTATGCTTGGTGCTTACCTTCCCTTGATCTTTGGTTTTATAATTAAGTTTTTGCTAATCTATTTTGATAAAGGACTGCACTTTTTCTGGTTTTGTCGACCTATTTTCCTCCTCGTTCAGAACTTTGAATCCCCTTTCTCTTTTTTTCCTCAGGGATGAGGGCCTTCTTGAGCACTTCTTGTAGTGGGGGTCTTGTGGCAATGAACTCCCTTAGCTTTTGTTTATCTGGGATAGTTATTATTTCTCCATCGTATCTGAAAGATATTTTTGCTGGATAGAGTATTCTTGGCTGAAAGTTTTTGTCCTTTAGAATTTTGAATATATCATTCCACTCTATCCTAGCCTGTAAAGTTTCTGTTGAGAAATCGGCTGACAGCCTGATAGGAAATCCTTTGTATGTTATTTTTTTTGTCTAGCTGCCCTTAATATTTTTTCTTTGTCATTGACTTTTGCCAGCTTTACTACTATATGCCTTGGAGAGGGTCTTTTCGTGTTGATATATTTAGGAGATCTATTGATTTCCTTCACTGGTATTTCCAGCTCCTTCCCCAGGTTTGGGAAGTTCTCAGATATTATTTCTTTGAACAAGTTCTCTGCTCCTTTTTCCCTCTCTTCTCCCTTTGGAATACCTATAATCCTTATGTTGGATTTCCTGAGTCGGATATTTCTCAGAGAGTTTCTTCATTTCTTTTTAGTCTTAGTTCTCTTTCTTCTTCCATCTGGATCATTTCTGCATTGCTGTCCTCAATATTGCTAATTCTTTCCTCCATATTGTCAGCTCTGGTGCTTAAGGCTTCCAGATTTGTCTTTATCTCCTCTATTGTGTTTTTCATCTCTAAGATTTCTGATGGTTTTTTTTTTATAGTTTCAATCTCTTTTGTGAAGAAACTCCTGATTTCACTGAATTGTCTGTCTGTGCTTTCTTGTATTTCATTAAGCTTTTTTATGATGGCTATTTTGAATTCTCTGTCATTAAGGTTATACATTTTTGTGCTTTCTGGGTTGACTTCTGGGTGCTTGTCATTTTCCTTTTGGTCTGGAGATTTAATATATTTTTGCATGGCGCCTGTTGGTGTTGGCTTACCTTTCCTCATAGTGAAAATATATGGTCGCAGTTTCCTCCTGCTGCTGCTGGGTGGGGGTCAAGGGCTGTGTATTCTGGCCGGCCTCAATCCGTGGGCACTCTTGTCGGCCCCTGGGTGATGTGCAGTGTGACTGAGTGGAGGTTGCTCGGGGGGAAGCGTGGAAGCAGCTGGAGCTGGAGCACAGCTAGTCCGAAGCAGCTGGGGCTTGGGTGCGGGTGGGTTGAAGCAGCTGCAGCTGAAGTGCCGCTGGGCCAAAAAAGCTGGATCTGGAGTGCACTGGGCTGAAGAACGAGGAGCTAGAGCACCGCTGGGCCGAAGAAGCTGGAACTGGAGTGTGGTGGGCCGAAGTTGCTGGCGCCAAGTCAGCTGGAGCCTGTGCACAGGCCAAGCCGAAGCAGCTGGAGCTCCTTCCACTTCCTCTGGGAATTCCAACACCTCAGTCCTTGGGGGTACAGCTGCCTGGGTGCCTCAGATGTCCCCTGTGTTGTATGAATAGCTTCTGTTGGAATATGAATGTCGTTTTTGTTGTGTCTTAAGAGGGGGAGAGTTCAATGGGGGAAGCTCACTCTGCTGTGATGCTGACATCACTCTGGAGAATATTTTTGATGGGTATTGCATTCTAGGTTGGCAGTTCTCTTTCTAGCACTTGAAGATGTCATTCTTTTGTCTTCAGGCTTTTATAGTTTCTGTTGAAAGTTCTACCATCAGTCTTTTTTTCACTCTTCTGTAGGTAATGTGATTTATTCTCCTCTGGCTGCTCTAAAGATTTTCTCTTTATCTTCAATTTTCAGCAGTTTTACTATAATGTAGACTAGGTATGGTTTCATTTGTATTTATCCTGCTTGCAATTGGTGGAACTTCTTGAATCTCTGGATAGTTGTCCAGGTATTTGGAAAATTCTTGGCCATTATCTTTTCAAAATTACTTCTACCCAATTTGCTCTTCTCTTTCTGTGATTCCAATTACATATATATTATTCTTCTGATTGTATTCCATGTGTATCTTCCTTTTTTTCTGTGTATTTCAATTTGGATTTTCTTGATTGATCCATTTCCAATCCACTGTGTCTTCTGCTATATCCAATCAGTTGTTAACCCACTGATATTATTTCAATTCTAGAAAAACCTCTTCATTTTTATAAATTCTAATTCTCTGGTGAAATTCTCAATCTTTTCATCTATTTTATACACTTTCCCCTCTATTTTCTTGTACATATTAATCATTGTTATTTTAAAGTCCCTGTCTGCTAACTTCACTTGTGGGTCTACTTTTATATATATCATATATTTTACTTATTTATCATATATTTTTCTACATATACATATTAGTATAAATACAGTGGTAATAGCGACAGTCTTGCCTTGTTCCTTTCTAGTTTCTTCATAAGCATGATGGAGGCTTGTAGGGTGATATAGATATATTTTATCATGTTGAAAGGTACCCATTTTACTAAATACTTTTTCATCATCTATGAATAGATATATATGATTTTTCTCTTTTGATGTATTAACATGGTGAGTTATATTATTACATTTCCTAATATTGAACCATCCTTACATTTCTGGAAAAAAATTACAGTTGGTAATGAGATCTCATTCTTTTAATATCCTTTTAATATATTATTGGATTTGTGTCTAATATTTTATTGACAACTTTTGCATTGGTATTTAAAAGTGAAATTAGTCTTTAGTTTTAATTTTTTCTGCGCTATATTTGTTAAGGTTTAGTATCAATATCTTGAGCTTCATAAAATGAATTTATGCCTTCCTTTTTTTCCACTATGTTCTATAACAATTTAAATAAAACTGGCATCTGTTTCTTAAAATTTATCAACATGCTTTTATTTATTTATTTCTTTTGTGAGGAAGATCAGCCCTGAGCTAACATCCGATGCCAATCCTCCTCTTTTTGCTGGGGAAGGTTGGCCCTGGGCTAACATCCGTGCCCATCTTCCTCTACTTTATATGGCATGACACCATAGCATGGCCTGACAAGCGGTGCGTCTGTGCACGCCTGGGGTTCCGAACCTGCGAACCCCCAGCCGCCAAACCGGAACGCACACACTTAACCACTTAACCTGCAAACCCCCGGCCGCCACAGCAGAACGCACACACTTAACCACTATGTCACTGGGCTGGCCCCTATCAATGTGCTTTTAACCATCGAATGCTAATCAAAATGTAAAGGCAAACTCAAATGCAGGGGTTAGACACATAAAATAGATGAGCAACATGCACGTTGATGTGAGATGAAGTATTTTAGACATAATATGGGCCAACTTAAATATGTGTGGTTGGATGTGGTCCAGGGGTAGCCGATGTGAAACCCTATGGAATAAAGACGGGGACCATGTTTTACACGTTTGTATCCTCCACCCCACGCCAAGCATGGTGCCATGAGGCATCATGGTTAACACCATGCCCCTGACACGGACAAGTTCTCCTACTTAAGACGTGACCTGAGGCAGATCAATTCCCTTCTCTTTGTGACTTTACCCCCATTTGTACAATGAGAATAAGAACAGTAAAACTTTCCTTTAAAGGCTGTCATGAGGACTAAATGAGATAATGTATGTAAATTTCCTCACAAGGACTAGTTTAGGAGGTACATTAAACTATGCTCATTTTTTTTTTTTTTTGCTGAGGAAGATTCGCCCTGAGCTAACATCTGTGCCACTCATCCTCTCTTTTGTAATGTGGGTCACCACCACAGCATGGCCACCAATGAGCGGTGTAGGTCTGTGCCCGGGAACTGAACCCAGGCCACCGAAGCAGAGCGCCCTGAACTTAACCACTAGGCTACGGGGCCAGCCCCAAACTATGCTCATTTTTATCACTGTGATTATTACTTATTTTTTTCCCAAATGGAAACAATTTTCTTTGTGATTATAAAAGCAATACACCTTCATTGTAAAACTGCAGCCAAAAAAAAAAAAAAAAACAGTAACAACCATACTGTATATAAACAGGATAATTCTCTAACAGTACTATCAGGCTAAATTTTTCACGTTATAACATATTAGGGGCATCACTTCATTTACAGCAGTAGTAACTAATGTGATTAGAGGAATCCTTCACCTTCCTGTTACCATGAGTTCCTTTTCAGTGGCCATAGGCCGCATTCGGGTATAGATGTCCATTGTGAACAGGGTGCTGGCACAATTGAAAACAGAAGTCAAGGAGGACATGAGAGAGGCTGATATTGTGGACAGCATCAAGCCGCGTACACCTGGAAGAGAAGGGACATTTCCTGGGCTTCCAGCTCTCTGGCCACACCAGGAGATGCCTTAGGCCTCCTAAGGAACTTTTCCACATACTAAATTTTCCCCTACAAAACATTCAAATTTTATTTGGAGTGGAATTCCATCTAAGATAGATTAATGCATCACATTTGTCCTTGCTTTGTCCCAGAACGTTTCAGCATTAGCATTAGCCTGCGTTAGCTTGCACAATCCTCCCCACAGCCTGTGTGATAGACATCATTGCCACCCCCCCTTTGACAGATGAGGAGCCAGAGGCTCAGAGAAGGTTCCAACTGTAGGTAAATCATGTGGCTCCCTGTGCCTCAGTGTCTTCATCTGTAAGTGGGCATAAGTGTACCTACCACATAGGGCTGTTGTTAAGATTAAGATAAATTAAGTAGATGGGTTAACACAATGCCCAATACAGAGCAAGCACTGAACAAATGTTAGCTATAAACATAACAATCTAGTATTACTACCCGAAAGGCCACCCTGCAGCAGGGACTTTGCTCTGTCTGGAGATTTCTATGTGCTGTTGGGAGAGCCTGAGGTTACATAACCAGGGCCTGAATTGGAGCCCAGCGCTGCAAGGCCCCCACCGTATTCAGGCAAAGACTAGAGTCCTTGTATTTGCCTTCCTTCAAGAGTCCCACAGCCTACTCTCACTCACAGAACTGAGTGCTCTAAGATGGGCTCAGCTGGGGAATTCAGACAACTTCCTTCCTGAACTCTGGGATGGTCAGTATTTCTCTCAGTTGGATTCCATCTATATTGTATTTAATGGAAATGTTTCAACTTTCCCAGCCTATTGATCTCCAGAGCTAATATGGAATTGTTTTTTTTTGTGAGGAGGACCAGCCCTGAGATAACATCCAATGCTAATCCCCCTCTTTTTTGCTGAGGAAGACTGGCCCTGGGCTAGCATCTGTGCCCGTCTTCCTCCACTTTATATGGGCCGCCGCCACAGCACGGCTTAATAAGCAGCACATCGGTGCGCGCCCAGGATCCGAACTGGCGAACCCCGGGCCGCTGCAGTGGAGCGCGCGCACTTAACCGCTTGCGCCACCGGGCTGGCCCCTGGAATTGTTTTTTTAATTGTATTATTCATTTGGCCATTTCCGTGGGATTTGGGGAAGCAGGTGAAAAGAATGCATGGGCTCACTGTCATCTCGCAATGAATGCCATCTCACTGTTGGTGAATTGCCCATACTCTTGCCCATCCCACTGGATGTGAGCTCTTTGAGAGCAAAACTAGGTCTTGCTCATCTCTGCATTCTCATGGCTTAGAACAATGTCTAGCACAGCGTGGAGCCCATCTGCAGAATGAAGGAGCAAAGGCTCGAGCTAAGGTGGGGAGAGGAATAATGCAAATCACATGCACAGGTTGTGCTTCTGAGAGCATGTGCATTACGAGTGTGTGAGGAATGAAGAGGGAGGAGGCCCAGATCCTTCCCTCAGGGCAGCAAGGCTCCCTCTACATCACTAAGGTCCCTCCCACCCACAGCCTGCATTCCACCCAGAACCATGGGCTGACTGGTAGAAAAGCCACCCCTAGTCCCCTCACTCCCAACCATCCACTTATAGCCTGCGGGCACAGGCTGCAGGGGGGACACTGATCATGGGGCTTCTATGGCCCTCGATGGCAGGGTCCATTTCTTACCATTGGGCAGCAGCTCTACCACCACCACTGGGTAGGCAATGGGGCTACAACCAGTTCTGGTACCACAGTGCTTCTCACATTCTGAAGGTACAACACACGCCACTTTATCTGCAAAGAGATAATAGTCACACCAACGTGCTGGCCTGAGAGCTCCAAAATCTGAGCTCAGGGAAAAGGAAGCAAATTAGGAATCGCATGTGGATGCTGTGTCGTCTACTGGTGACTGCTCCAATTCATGATCCTATAGGCTCTTCAGGAGTGTGGGGTGAAGGCAGGGGCTAGGAGCTGGGCACCAAGGAGTCCAGTGAATTGGTGCTCCTACCAAGTCACTGCTTGAACCAAAGCAAGTCCCCTGACCTCAACATGATTCCGGCTAGGTGTCAGGAAAGCAAGTGGATTATTCATCCATATACTAATGTATGAGTAACGCATAACTTTACTCCCTTAGCCTGAGAGAGGTGTTATTTCAGAGTATTTGGGAAGAAATTTTGGACAAAGAGAGGTAAAGGGAGTGAATGTGACATGCCCTTCAAGAGCTTATAAAGCTATCAGGGATACAAAGTTACCATCTGAGGGAAAAAAAACCCCAAAACAATGAATCAACATGGACTAGAAGGAAGCAGGATGTTGCCCAGGTTTATGGGTAGAGCAAGCTATTTTACTGGGGACAGGTATGTCACTTAAGAAGTGGTTACCAAACATCTAGAGAAAGAATGTGAAAACTCAAGGGGGTGGCTGCAGTGAACATCCCTTTTCATCTGCCCCCTATCCCGCCCGCTCCATCTCACTCAATGTGGTTTGGAGGGGGCTCGAGAGCCAGGCCTGGCCATTCTGGAAATTACTTCCTCTTGGCCACAACGACTGGTCCCTATCACTCAAGTGAGTTCACTAAGACTCATCTGAGATTTTTGCTGGAACTACTGGGAAAGGAAACACTGTTTCTGTGGGGGTTGTTGAGCTGGTAGTTCAGAGGCCTGCTGCTGCTGGTGACCATCTTGCTACCAGGTGGCCTGAGGATGACACCTGCTCAGAAGATAAAGGACGTAAAAGTGCACATCATTTTCAACCAAGAACCCCAACAAATACAGTGGCCTACCCAGAAAACTAGATTTAGAGAATCACACCTTGACAGGCTCTGGCCAGGAGAGAGACCAGAATCTAGGGCCAGAAACATTTGGGTCACTGGAAAAGCATGTTCTTCCAGAAACATGGGCAGGTGCCAAGTTGTCGTGACAAATGGCTTTCTGGCTTTATACACCTGGCAAGTATAAATGGATCTGAGTCTTGCCATTTCTGAGGACTAGGGACAAGTGGTTCTAGGCCCTTCTCCACCCCAAGGGCTCTCCACCAGTGCAGTCTCTTAACTCTATTTCCCTCTTGATTAGAGGGCGGGAGAGAGTTTGGGTTCCTGAGGCCCCCTCCAGCCAGGGGCAGGAGCTATTCCTCACTCTTCTTCCCCCTCCCTTAGCAGCTTCTAGAGTCCAAGATACATGATATTCTGCCCAATCTTCTTCCTCAGTGAGCAGGCCAGTCCATACTGTGGAGTGGAGGTGGGGACCCATGGCTGCGAAGCCCAGGAGACTTGGGTCCTAGAAAGCACAGGGGCCTATTTTCTGTTCAACGAGGAGGCACCACCTATGAGACCCAAAAAAGTGTCACTTGACAGCCGAAGACCAAATCTGTGAATGTTGAAACAAAGTACTTCTCTCTGTTGAAACTGGAAAGGAATTAGGATTTAAAAAAAGAGGCCTGTCTCAGGGGCAGACTGAATGATGAGTTAGGGTTAGAGATGTCTACTGCACATGTTACTTAGCAATAAAAAGTGTTTTACATTCTATTTGGCCTTGTCAAAGCACTGCAGCAGAAGACTCCCCTGGAAGCCGCCTGCTTTGCCCCAGTGGCTGCACCTATCAGAGTACGTGCTCCATAAAGGTTTAATGAACAAACAAACGTGGTACCCTGAGAGGCAGTATAGCTAGTAAAACTAGGTTGAAATGGGGATGAGATACATCCACAGAGTTATGAGAGCTCATTAAGGACAACAGGGCTGTTTTAATAGCATTTAATGGAAAGAACCTGGGCCTCAGAGTCAGACCCACTATGGGAGTTACACGGAGCTCCCCCTCTGATATGCCTCCTCTGTTCAATGAGGCTACGAAAGCCCACCTCTGGGGCAGTGAGAGCAATGGCAGCATCTGTCAGTTCCCCAGTACAGCACCTGGCACACAGGTGTGCCTGGCATGACGATGCCTGTGATGCAAGGGGAGCCACTGAACCTTCCTGCAGATTGTGGCTCAGTGCCACGCAGAGATTGGGCCCCGGCTGGAACCAGCATTGATCACCTCTTCCTTGCCTGAACTGATCTCTCTGGAATTTCTTGCTTGCCACCTACATCCACAGTCTCTGCCAGACTTCTGCTCAGCTATGTCCCTAATCTAAACCCATTAGCTCCCAAGAAAGCAATCTGGGGCACCTCAACACCAGTACACTGTGGGAGACCTGATAATCCCCAGTACCCTCTGGATCTTTAAGAGAGAAGTTGATGAGTGTGAACACATCAGAAACAAGAATTTACCTGGGTATAAGACACGGCTGATCATTCCTGGCATCACTATGCTAAACATGGGCAGCAGCTTCAGGTACCCACAAAAGATACAGCCGCCTTTCACATGAGACATGTTCTTCCCTGCCAGGCACCGCTGGACAAAAATCTGCCAAAGAATCACAAGTGGTGGGTAGGGTGGTGGCTTTATCAGAATGTATCAAGCCTGGGCTTCCTTGGCACAGATGGGACAACTGTGACCTCCTGCAGTGGCAGGCTGTGCCCTCTGGTAGGTTTTTGCTAAAGCTGCTCACTTCAACAATCCAGACAACTCTGGATATCTAGGGCCAGAGGAGACGTGTGTGACCAATGAGCACGTTTTGCTCAGTGCACAGCTGCTGGAGGGGACAGGGATAGCATGCATGACTTTGGCCTCATTGCTAGCACTGCACACCAATCATAGCAGCGCAGTGTTTACAAGCTGTCCCCTGGCAAGGACAAGACTCCCTCCTAGAGGCCACAGACCGTGTCTGCCGGGCAGAAGGAAAAGGGCTCTTGTGACATCAAAGCAAAGGTAGGCCCCTAGCAGTAAATGAGTGTTTAGAACTAGGACCAACTTCATTCATCTAAATTGAAATGAACTAGTATAGACCTTAAAAATGCAAAAATCTCCTAGGAGATGTTTCATGACCCATTTCATGGCATTATTGCTATAAGAGGCAGTGTGCACTCAGGCCGAACAGAATGGTACAGCTGGCAGGTGGAGAAGCACTTAAGAAAGAACATAAAGACATGGCCCAGTGCATCAAAACAATGCAGTATTATGTATACACTAAAATTACTGAAGAACATTTCTTGAAGAATATTTAAATAATGTGAAAAAATGCTCACAGTGTGATGGTAACTAAAAGGCACAGGATACAACAGCAGCATATATACTGTGGCTCTATACCCAGAAAAAAGCCCACAGGAATAAACCAACATGATAATAGTGGTTAATTCTGGGGTGGGAGAATTTACAGGCAGGATTTTCATTTTCTTCTTTACATTTTCATTGTTTTCCAAATGCATTATTTTAATAATAGGAGGAAGAACCCAAAAGTGGTCCTGCCTCATGCAACACGTACTGCTTCTCAGGAGGTCTGCTGTTCCTGCTGCTGGCCTCTCAGTGTATGCAGGCCTCTGCTCAGCAGGCACGGGCAGCCAGGCTGCAGGGCCTGGTGTAAGCCCTGTGCCCAGAAGAGATGGTCTCTCAGGGAGGGATGAAGAAGCAGGGCAAGGGCAGAAACATGGCTCTTGATGAAGAGGGAAGGGCGATCAGAAGAGCAAAATCACTCCCTGTAGAAAGTCCTGAGCACTTCCGTATATTGTCATATATTCCAAAGTGGGGTGAGGGAAAGACTATTGTTTAAAAATGGTGATGGGCCAAAGGTTAACAATTGGCCTTCTGCCAGTTTATCTGCCTCTTTTTTAATGAAAATTTTTTCTTAAATCATTTTCTTTACTAGTTAGGAAATTACATATTCTCCTTCTATGCTTTTAATAATTACCCTTAAAATTTTAGCAGGGATATAACTTTAAGTCCAACGTAAACCAATATGCCCACCCTTATGGTTCATAGATTTACCTCCAAACTGTAGTCCAATATTTCAGTTCTGTCCTGTTTTTTACTTCCTATATTTGTAATTATTATTGTTTTTCAGCCAACGCTTTAGATTTGTTCATGTGCCTGTCAACATCTTTGCTCACTAGTCCCCCTTGCTCTTCAGTACTTCCTTTTTCTTTACGTCCATATTTCAGTCTTTCTTTAGGTAAGGTTCTGTCTTGATTTTGCCCTTGGCTAGGAATAATACCTTCGCTGGGCATGTAATTTAAGGTTGACATTTTCCTCAGTACTTTGAAAATTTTACTCCTCTACCTTTGGGTTACATCGTTGCTGCTGAGGAGTCTGTTGTTGGTATAAGTGTCTTCTTTTATAAGTAATCTTTCCTCTCAGGTGGCTTTCAAAATCTTCTTCTTGTCTTTGATGTTCTGGACTTTCATTATGAGTGGCTCTGTGTGGATTTTTAAATTATTTCTGCTTGAGATTCACTGCGATTCCTGAATTTGATGATTCTTGCTCTTTCAACAATTATAAAAATTCTCAGCCAGTTTCTCTTCAAATATTGTTTTTCTCTCCTTTTCTTCTGGAACTCCAATGAGATGTATTTTAATCCTCATTTTATCTTTCATGTTCCTTCATTTTTCTTTCACACTTTCCATTTTTGTGCTTTCTGGGCTATTTCTTCAGTTCTCTCTTCCAGATTATTAATTTTTTTCCCCTTTGGCTATATTTAATCCGCTATTTTAACAGTTACTGAGTTTTACATTTCAATAAGTGTATTTTTCATTTCTATAAGTTTGAGTTTTTAAATCTGACTGATCTTTTTTGATAGAATTGTGTTAATGTTTTCAGTTCAATTTTTATTTCTTTAAACATTTATTTTGTATTTGGTATCTAATACTTCAATTTTCTGAAGTTTAGAGTACTAATTCTGCTGTTTCTTGCTCATGGTGGTTAGATTCTTCCATGTTTTCTACTTTTGGGTGGGGGCTCATGCTGAGCAGGGATTTATTAATGGGAATCCTGCAAGGCCTTGGTTGAGGGTACATCCCTCTAGAGAGAATTTGTCATTACTTCTGCCAGTTCAGCGGTAACAAATTTTGGATGATTTTATGTTCATTTCCTCACATGAGGTTACCCTGACCACACACGTAAATTAAAAACACAGACATAGAGGGAGGCAGGCCTGCCATTATGAAAACTCAGAGGAGGCTTTTCTCCTCCTCCTGGAGCCCAGGTTGGGGCACTGTTTTTTGAAGTTGTTTCTCCTGGCTAGTGGGCAGATGTTTTCCTAGTCTTAGCACTGAGGTTACAGCCTTTCAAGAATCCAAGTTCTACATGAAGGGTTCACTCTTCACCAGTAATGAACTCAAGGTTTTTCTCCTGTTCTCATCTGGCCATTTAAATCTAGGCCTTTGAAAACCAAGCTTGGTAAATGCTGTGAGGGCACTGTCAGTGTCAGTGTCAGCTTAGCTCTCCAGATTTCAATTCTCTCTTTGTTTTCAGCCTCCGGAGATTTTCTTCCTTTCTTATGAGCTCCTCTATGACTATAAAAGATGTTTGTTATATTTTACCCAGCATTCCTAGGAGTTTTGTAGTGGGAGGTGGTTCAGGAAATCTAGTTTACCTGTTGTCAGAAGGGGAAGTCCAGGGGCAACTTTTAAAGTTATGGTTATAGAAGAAATTGAAAGAAAAATACAGAAAGATTTTTCTTATCTTTTGGGTAATGTAGGATAATTAAACACATAATAAACAGAAGGGAAAGAATTCAAATAAAAAAATTATAGCTACGTATACCCATGTATTGTGCTCTGGATCTCATCTTGTTCCTTGTCCTTCCACTCTGTACATTTTAAAGATCCATCAGTGTTGCTATGTGTACATCTAGTCCATTGCATCTAACAGCTGCATAGTATTTCACAAGTATCACCCTCCCCATTTCATCTACCCCCTTTATAGTAACTGACACAACCAACACTGTGATCCATGTCTCATACATAATCCCTTATGAACTTGCATGAGGATTTTTCAGGTAGATTCTGAGGAACATCACAGCTAGGTCACAGAGTACAATAAACTTAATTTTATTGAATGCTGCCAGATTATACTCTAGAACACACTGCACCAGTCTACACTTCTACCAGAAGTGCACAACGGTTCCTAAACATCCACATCCTCCCCAACACTTGCCATTACAAAGCTTTCTAATTTTTGCCAGTCTCACTGTGGTTTTAAATTACGCTTCCCTGATAACTCTGGGTTGTATGCTTGCTGACATTTCCTTTTCTATCAATTGCCTGTCACTATCTTTTGCCCACGTTTCTGTTGGAGCTCCCTTTTTCTTGTGGATTTGCTACTAGTCCCTTGTCCTTATAAACATTTCTAATAATCTTCTCTAATCTGCCATCTGTCAACTTCGTCTATGGTATTCTTTGTTTAAAAGTCCTTATATGGAATGTGATCAAATCGATACGATTTGTACTTCCCCCTCTGTCTCAAAAATATTCTCTAATATTATGTTCCCTTAACTGTATAGTTTTACTTTTCACATTTAAGTCTTTAACCCATCTCAAGTCCACCTTTGTAGAAGCATTAGCTAGAGATGAAGTTTTTTTACTCCAAATAGTAAGCTGGTTTTTCTAACAACATCAAAGAACATGTATCTCTCTCACTGATTCGTGGAGCTTCCGTGAATATATATTAAATTCTGATAAAGTACATGAGTCTGTCCCTCAGCTCTTTAGTCTGTTCCATTAGGCTATGTGTCTATTTTCGGAAATTTCAAATGTTTTATTACTGTTACTTTGTAGATGTTTAAATATCTCGTCTAGGGGCCGGCCCCGTGGCTTGGTGGTTAAGTGAGCGCGCTCCGCTGCTGGCGACCCGGGTTCGGATCCCGGGCTCGCACCGACGCGCTACTTCTCCGGCCATGCTGAGGCCGCGTCCCACATACAGCAACTAGAAGGATGTGCAGCTATGACACACAACTATCTACTGGGGCTTTGGGGGGAAA